CGTTTTGAACACCGGTCGACTGAGCAAAATACATCCCAGTTTGCACACAGTTTCAAAGTAGATATTCTTGTAGGTTCCATATTCACATGAAGTTATTCCAGTCAAGATGCAAACATTATCGAAAACGAGGATTGTGGGAAAAGCCAGGCGGTTAGCGTAGGCTGATTGATCGGAGTCGTGATTAATGAAATGGGCGGGGCTCGAGACTCATGCACTTCGATTGATTGTCTCGGTAGATGCACCATTTTCTGCTAGTCTTGCATTGATGATTGATTAAGCGTGAAAAGTAAGGGCAAGCCGAGTGCAAAACACCTCCAGCCAATGTTTTACAAGTGTTCATTTTTTTGTTATTGTTATGTTATTGTTTTGTTTGTTTCTTCCGTCTCTGTCACTCATGTGTAGAGACTGGATGTTCAGAACCTAAATATTTTGAAAGCGAAACATAACGGCCCGCCAAGTAAGTAACTTTTGTGCATCGCCGCTTTGAAAACCAAGCTAAAACCTTTACCTCCTGCTTCGAGTACATGTACCGCAGCATTACTGCTTTATAATTTACACGATTATAAAGCAAACTGATTAAAGTACTGTCTGCTCTCAAAGATCAAAATCCTCTGCTAATATTGAAAAGCTAAAATCAGAAAAAAATTAACATCTCTTGAACACAAATCTGACATCAGGAACCGTGATAATAAGTGTTGCGATTAAAATATATATCCAAAATGATCAACCCAGAAAGACCATTTATGTACAAATCTTGGATATGCTAATAACCTACAATTTGCAGGGACAAGCTGCTGAAACACAAGGCATAGGCCTACATGTAGGCCTATATGAAAATCGCTTGTGCGTCTGCTTGTAAAACTGCCCTACACTCACATTAGTCCCGTATCATGTAGAGGGAGATGAAATCTCGTCTTCAAAACTGAATAAATCCACAATGCAATTATCACTATGGGAACAAACATTTTCAATAGAGATTAATGTTGGATAAGGATGGGTCAAAGACAGGAGAAATTAATTACAGATGACATTAACCTGATTTAAAGAGGCTACTTTGCTTCTCTGCTTTGTGCCAATCAGTCCTTAAAATACAGCCAACAATCTGTTTGATCTTGATTAAAAATGACCGATGTTCGACTATTCGGGGGGAAAATGCAATCTGACACTGGGCGCATATAAGTGACGATTCCCGATCAGAAAATAATTTCATATCCTTACATTTCGTCCAGAAAGTGTTTATTGAAAGAGCTCCTCGTAATTACACATCCACGGGCAAAATCAGACTTTCAAATTTGAAATAGGCGGACTGGGAATCGATCAAGAAAACATGCCATGTATAATTTTTCTCAGCAACTAATACCAACTGTTACATCAGGATTTCGGGAAAACGGAAGTTTCCAAGGATGGTACTTTGGCGGCAACACGGCTCAAGGCAAATGTACACTTCCGAAATTCAATTCGGGCCTGTCATCGAGCGTTCCGTGACTTGATGCATAAATTATATCGATTTATAAGTCAGCACAGATTTACCCCCCCCCCATAAAACGTGGCATTGGGAAATCACATTACATCAACATTAACTAACACTGCAAACAGTGACAGATCGATGACCTAACAGACCGTCTTGTAGCTCTTGCCTCAAAAATTAGCATATTCATAACTTTCGCGCAGATTTCGCCTCAACCATAGACTCTTTTCCAGCTCATTCTCCATGCCCTCGGGTGCCCCGGGCGATTCGGCCTGGATAACGCCCGTTCTCTCTAGCAGCGGGAAAGGTTTTGATGATTTCAATTTACATCATTAAAAGATGGGTCAAGTGTGGACATTTCTGCCAGAACGTGACAAAAGAGAATTGACTCATCGCGCCTAGCAAGTGGCGCCTTTTCCACAACACAATTGGCAGCTTGGCAGACGTCTGTAATTTCTCATTCGTCAAGAAGCAATTCTAGAAAAATTAAATTAGTTGGATGGAACAGTGACCGAATACTGATGAGAGTCCAAATGCTTAATCATACACGTTTTTGAGCTGCAATTGAATCTAACAGGGAGAAGCCGAATTAAAGGCACATGTCATTCCCAATACAAAGTATTTATGGGTAAAAATTCTCTCATTTTCACAGTTATTTTACTTCTGCAGGTGTCTGCGCCATGGTTATTGTTCCCTAATGTGTGTAGTTTTTATTTCATAATATTTGCTAAAAAATAACCTTACTGTATTTCTTATCCTAGTCTAATTCTGCTGAATCTAATAGTCATTGTTAGTATGACTTGCGTCACAACACCAAACTCAGATTTAAAAATAACACTGAATTTATCTCAGATCTTAAATATTTTATTGCCAAGGATTGATGTCCAGTCATATGAACGAGAAGTTACCCCATTACTCTTCAGCAGAGCCGTTGCTAAGAAGCAACATCTACGCAGGATGCACGGTCACGTTCGGATTCAGACACTGAACCTATATGGACTATGCAAGTACTTTGCAATGAAGGTCTTGTGCTTCACACTAATAGATGTACAATGCTGGAGTGGTCCCAGATATTGTGGTCGAGTCCTTCATCTGATTTTGTCTTTTTTTTCTACTTGGACTTCCCTTCTTGTGTTTGCAAACTTCTCTGCAACTGTGCTACTAATAACGTTTTAAGTTGGGATCATTCGACCTTTCCGGACTTTAAATGGCCGTACAATCTCTTTGGAAAAATAGCCTTAGAAGAAAAGTGCGACGCGTCAGGGGGAATCGTTTTATGCACTTTCAGCAATGGATAAATGTATGGGTAAAACGTTGTGTGAAGGGAAAGTAAGAAGCTTAATTTGAAGGATTTTCAAGGAATAAAACAGACGAGCAAGATCTTTTGAAAAATCTAAGAAAAACACTGAAGGAACAGTTGTCTGAGTGCAGAGCCTGTAACGATTCCCAGGGTGGGGGGGGGGTAAGAGGACATGAGGCTAGGCAACGCAATGTAAATAATACGACCTGTAACTTTGAGGTAATTAAATACCTCTGTTCATTTACGTTATGTAATAGTCTTAAAAAGAAAACATAGAGATGTACTCGTTATTTTTTTTCAACGAACCGATAAAAAAACTGAACAGAATACGTCTAGGCCTATTTAAGCAAGATTTATTTATATGTTTCAAGTGAGGAAAATCCCGCAGACAATTCCTGGTCGCTTTCTTGAATCAATCACGTTGCCAACAATAAATTCAAAAATTCACAGTTTTCTCAGTATGCTGAAAACAGAACTAAATTAATCTCACATACCTGTCATGCTGACATCGCCGAATCTTGGGGTTCTTTGCACCAAAGTTCTTGAAACTTGATACACATTCCTCAGCACGCGATTTTAATCCGCACGTAAAATCCAATTTCCCTTCTCAACTCCACGAACAAGTGGCGTACTTTGTGGAGTTCTTGCGTCCTTCACCGGTCATCGCATGCCGTTGTTCAGCAGTCAGATACAGTGCGATTAACAACATCCGCACGCATCCATGGTACCGTCACGGGCTGCAGTTAGACCAAGTTCTCCTCGGCCAGTTGAAGTTTTCGAAGTCTTTGAACTTCCAACGCCTTCTTTTTCAAAGTAACGAGGATGTAGGAAAAGTTTATCATTACACAGACCAGTCAAACAGTTGGGATTCTTTTCCAAAATCCCACATGTGAGAGGAACACGAATCATGATGAAACACCAGCGGCCATCACTCGAACACTGAACGATGTTTTTGCACACCGCTATTGGTAACCTCTGAGAAACGCAAGTGAACAAAAGGCACATACCTGAAAACAATGCGTGGTCTTGTGAGGGTGCGGTCGATGACATTGAGGCACGCGCGAGCCGTGAAACTGGCCAATGCGAAGGCGCCTTTATAAAGACCAGGTGCGTTACAAAAATAGTTTAATTCAAAAGCCAGAGGCAGGCTCCCCTCGGCCGGAAAAAATCAAAGGTTGGCTGCTAATTATCGACAGCCCTCTTCGTCATCTAAACTGCTTTTGGATTTCTGCTGGATGTTATAACCTTCCGTTAGCCATAGTGTAGACATAATTACGCTCGGTTTCTAAAATCAAATTGACAACAAAGTATGAAGTTTTGCATTGGTGTGAATGCACTGCACTGTGAATGTGAATATGATTCTGAAAAAAAATCTTTAAAATTAATTAACCTAAAAAAATAGAAAGCCTCTGTTGAAGGGGCTTGCCTTTCCACTTTTAGAGCTCGACCACGGCGAGATAAGCGAAATACTTCGCTACAATGAATGCTCCTGACAGAAAATAACCCATACACGAGTTTCTGTGATGAGTATGCAACTCACTTCCCTGCTAAAAATTTTTTCGGAGCGGTGAAAAAGAATGTTTCCTTCTTGTTTATCTGAAGTGCGTAAGACTTCCCAGTATAGAAACTAAAGATAAATGTGTTACTCGATGGACTCATGTTTTAATTACTATCTGATTCGTTTTCCTGCATACTTTGTGAATGATTATTGGATTCAAACCTGGAAAACGGAAATTGAGGTTCCAAAGAGAAGCCCTCAAATTGCTAGTATTTCATACCCGATGTATGAAATGAAATACCCGCTTTATGAAACAAGGACGTTTATCAATCCTGGGGCGATGTTGGGGGTCGTTCCCTTTAACCTCTGATCATGGAGCTATAAAATGTTCTGATGCAAAGCTCATGAGCATGCATTGTATATGTTCGACACACATAGCCTGTGCACAAAAAGACTGGTCCACATAATGTAGGGTGCGATGGCGTTGTGTGGTTCGGCATACATGTACATGTACATTGAGGTGATTGATGAGAGCGGTCGGGACTAAGCAACATCCTTTGGGGTGGGTGTTGTTGTTGCTGTTGTTGTAGCTGTTGTTGTTGTTGCTGCTGCTGTTGTTGTTCTTGTTGTTGTTGTTTTGTTTGTTTGTTGTTGTTGTTGTTGTTGTTGTTTTGGGTTTTTGCGGTTTCTTTGTTTTCGTGATGTCCCGTTTCTTCATTTCAATAGAAGGTTCATTGATTAGAAAATGCTTGCTTTAAGAAAAGAATTGTATTCAAACGACGGGGAGACTTGGCCAAGTCTAAGCTGTTGACCCCGGTTCTGTCATGGCTGACTGAACCTTGATAAAACGTTGAAAAAGCTGTATTTGCAACTGCCATTGATAAATGCCCATGTAAGCGACACATCGCGAGCGGTGCAGTTGCGAAATGACAAAGCTTACTTCCTGGTGCGTGCCTGCAAGTGGTAACACTACGCGTCTCAGTTATAGCCGTCCAAGTCTAATTATTTACTGTTGTGGTGCATGCCCACGAAAAGCTTTCCTACATGTAGGGTCATTTAAAAATCCTTTCCGAAAAGTGCTTCAAGTTCAGTCCACCAACAAGCTACTGCATGACGGTCATCGCCTGTGCGTCACGAACCCCATCAAGGCGTGTGCGTACTTTGTGTTGACGCTGGAGGGTATTATGTACACAGCTCTAGAAGTTTGGTGATCACTGTTCAAGCCAAAGGACCTCGTTGAAGTTGACACCCCTCTCTGACCTATTGCTGCACCTTTGCCGTGACATGTTCGCATTGCTTGTGTATCACGATGTAGGTCTACGGTTGTCTTGATGAGCCACCTCCACCGATACAGAGTAGGACGGTTGCCATAACAAGATGAGTAGACGAAGCGAGCTGATGAAAAGATATCTTCAGCTCCATGCTGGTTTGATTTCTCATCATCAGCAATATGATGGAAGCGCCACCTCGGTAGTTTGATTTTGCAACTTTGACCGGCACGACCGAAAATATAAACTCACCGAGCACTGGTCCAGGAATCTCCGGCTCGAAAGAGAAATCCTGGACGTCCAAAGAGACACAAACGCTGCCCCTTAATGGTGAGAAATTATTAAATTTTCAGAAAAACTTTACGGTTACTACTCGAAGAATGGAATGGATGAGCTATAATTAACTTGTGAAAAATATTTACTTATCCGGGGAAAAAATTTATTACAAAGCAATGAAAAGTTGCACTCTGCCGAAAGGGTCCAAAGTCCGACAAAACTGCTTTTCAATATACTTTGGAGAATTTACAGTGTGTTCGAGAATCCAGCTGTTGTTTTATTCTCTCTCACAGCTACAGGAAAAGATTCTAGTGAGGTTCTGGTTTAATGGACATTGTGTTTGGGATATGCAAAGAAGATTTCACGCACACGTGGAGAATATGTTTTTCATTGTGACTGTCGAATCAGCACAGGGCAGGAAAATTAACTCGTCATAATCAAGATGTATTTTTTTTGTTAGTGCAGTTCAAGTGGACATCGGTGAACTGTCGTCAGAGCAATCAATCATGGAAAGCTGGGCTGCCGCAATTATCTTCATTGCCATTGCCGTCATTCTGTTTGTCCTTCTGGTGGCAAGGACCATCTATCGTGCCAACCGCTATCACGACTGTTGCGGGTCATGCAGGAGAAGTGATGGAGGGGACGACCGTCCGAAAACGCGAACGCACTCCATTGCCACGGAGCTGCAGATAATAAACGAGAACCAGAAAGCTGCGGCTGAGCAAGAGACTAACGGACAGACTCTGGTCCGGAGTAATTCACAAACAGTTGACCCTCTCAATCCTGACAGTTTGGAACTTCCGGTCCACGGCATCCACTATCCCGACCCTGGGGAGGAGATTGGAGACGAAGACCCTCCACCTGGCGGCCATGATACTAATTTCTTTGTTGCCAACGCGGGTTACGACGAACCAGACAAGGGACGTCCACAAAACGGATCACAGAGACAAGATGTCAGAGATCAAGACTCGATAGAGCACACAGAACATAGCGTCAGGAATGACCAGCTTTCCGAATCAGCATTCGAGAAGAATCGAGCTGACACGCCCATCCAAGACACTGGAGATATGAAGTCGAATGTAAGTGTTTCCGACCGAGAAACAGCGTTACCAGAATCTCAATCAATCAAAAACACTGCAATCACGGACACTGCGATTCCTGGATCTAATGACGAGGAGCTTGCCACTCCTACCAAAGAGGCAGGGGAATACCAAGACCTCATAAAAGAAGATGTTGCCCCGGCAAATGATTACCAAGCAGTAGCTCCAACTGACGTTGATTCGGCACATGAGTACCACTCAGCGGCTGGAAACGACGTTGATCCGCAAAGGTACTACGAAGCACTAATTCCAAATGATTCGTCAGGTGGAAAAAGTGGTCTAGAAAACCCAGTCCTAATGGTCTGACAGTTATATAACCTACTAGTGCATGCTTGAAGGCTTTCAGACGTGTTTCTTTAGAGTTCGCATTTGATTTCTTTTGGATACTGTTGATTTGCAAACCTTATGGTTTTCAAGTGACATAAAACATGTTTCATAGCCTAGTAGTCCTAAACAGTCGCATTTCAAGACTGAAATTTTCTTATTTGAAGCTGGTTTTGGCTTACGCTACCCAAAGTTAGGACTTCATAATTGTACCGTCCATGATCTTTAGGCTAAGTGTAATGAGGTAATGGCACATGTTAGTCTTAATTCAAGAAGTAAATCGGTGCCGGAAATAAACTGAATTCCGAATGTTTATTGCCACGAATACTATACTGAGTCCAAGTGTAAACTCCAATACATGTAATATCTAAGAATGCATCTGATTCAATGTGCATAGATAGTAGTCTTCTTTCCAGACTGATATCTACCATAATTAAGTTTCAGTTTAAAACATTACTACTGTCATTAACCACTTTTTCATACAAGAACAGGGCCAGAAAGATGCAGTTCAGCTATATCATAATTATTTCAAGTCAGCTCTTATTGGTTGGTCCGCCTTCAAGTCAAGATTAAAATTCTTACAACCATGAAACATATATGGCTCGAGTTGTCAGGTTGCACTAGATGACAAAATTCTTTCTGTTTGTATAGTTGCATACAAGTTACTATACACGGATGTCAGCGCTTTACGATAAGCAATAATGTCGCAGTGTAGCGATATTGTTCACAGATTATATGGGCAATGGAACTGATGTCAAAAGATCTCTGAAAATTTGATGCATGCATCCGACTATTTCAATAAACAGTTACTTTTATATTGTCTGTATAAGTTAAGAGTACTGTATAGTGCCTTATAAAGTACATGCAATTAATGGATGAGTGATATAACCTTTGTTCATTAATGCCAATTACATGCATAATCATTTCCTTTGTTAAATATTGCGGCAATCGAGAACAGTGAAGTTTTTCAGCGCTCTTTCATTCGGAAATCTAGAAAACTGTGCTTCTTATGTAAACTTCCTGCGTACTCTTGTTTGACATTTGAAAATGAAAGAATGTAAACACATTTTTTTTTAATAATATGAGGTGACTTTATCCCATTTTTACCTATTTTATATAAGGTAAGGTCACATGATGTTGTACGCCTATAAATACATTTAGTTTGGTCAATGCATTCAATTATCACATATAACTGCTCATATTCCTGGTTCGGAATAAAATTTAATCAGCTGATAGGTGTGATCATGCAGATCCTACAAATAATAATCCTCTTCGACAAATGGAAGTATTCCATTTTAAGAACCAGGTACAGTTTTTCACAGTGTGTGTTTGCTGCTCAGAATGTACTTAAAAGTTTTGTAATTAAACTTACAGTATCTGTATACACATGTAATACTGTTCAATACTGGGCTCATAAGTAGTTTGAATATTGATTCATAAGAAAGAGTGCACAATTCGCGATATAAATATAATTTAAAAACACACACAAAACAGGACCTAGATTTGGCCGGGGAAAATTTGCCCCGTTAAGTTAGAGGTCAGTGATGCCAGACGGCGATGGGTAACAAACTACATTGTCACTGAAATCGACTACGTTGGGAAAATGAATTTTGCATGTTCGCTCTTCCTTTTCCTCTTTTAAATTTTTCAAAGAATGTTTACACTTCAGGGATTTTATACAGACGAATATAGGCAATAGAAGTGCAATACACTTTCCAAGCATGTACCCGCCTTTTCCACGCACGCTTTCACCGGGGCAGTGTTACTCTGCTCTGAAAAACAAGTTGTTAATTTTCACAAAGCTTGTATTTAGTTGAAGAGCGCCCTCTATCTTCTCAGATGGTATTTCTAAACAAAGTTAATTCCTGCCCGGTTATAACTGCATTCCATTTTCCGTAGAAGTTTTAAGAATTGTTAAAAAAATTTCTCTGAATGATTTAGTTGAATTTTAAGTTGTTTATTGAAGGCCAAATTGAGTGTAACTTTTAAACACGCTTTGGATTATCGGGAGTGTCTCGTGATTCATTATAGTATATCGCAACTTCTGGTTCAGAACTGACATCAACCTGCATGGCGTGGAACGGAGCAAACTGCAAGTCGTAGATGTTTGCGGGGGTGTTTTCGGTCTTTCTTGCAATCTTTATGAGTTACAGCAACAGCAGCATATGCAGATAACCGTAATGATGAGCACCGCTGCCAAAGCGCCAGCAGCGATGCCAACGATAGCTCCCACCGATAACCCACTCGTGGGAGGAGGCTCGGTTCCCCTTACCACGGTCACAGAGATTGGGCAAGATAACGCCAACTCTACCGCAGCGAATTCGGTCGAGAAGGACCAGCAGTCGTACACGATGCCGTCGTCCGTTTCGTTCACCTCCCTCGTCAGCTCCCAGCCGGGCCGTTTGTCCCTGCGCTGACCCCTCGACCAGTCCTCTGGATGGCCCGCTAGGTTGCCCCGCCTTGTGACCATTGGGACCCTCGACTCGGTCAAGGTACCACAGGATAGCGTGTCACCGGGAACAAGTGGGTCCGTCGCCTTGGCGCTTGGAGTGCAGACGGGGAAGATTTCTGGGGGGTAAACGGTCAGAATCATCTCCCTGGAAGCGATCGCCTTGGTGCTGCAGCTGGATGTGCTATTGTCGTCGATGCTCATTTCAACACTGCAGCGGTACAGTCCCTCATCTGTTTTGCCAACTTGGCGAATGACGAGACTCTGGTGCACGTTACCTGGACGGGACGCGTTGTTGGCCTGGACCCGAGACACGAGAAGCCGCTGATCGGCAGGTGCCCTGAGGGTACCACCTTCCGCTAATACGATCCACGACGACAAGCTGAGATCGAACCGAGACCAAGTCACGACATGGGAGGACTCCTGATAATCCAGTATGTCACACAGAAACGTCACCGAACCACCAACCATGGGTTCGGCCGTCTCGGAATCAGGTTTGATGGTCAAGAACATTGTCAGGGCTCGGTCCTGGGCCTGGATCGGGTTGGAAGCAACTCGGCCTGCACTGAAACTGATGACAATTACGACAGATAAGATTGGGTAGAGTGCCATTTCTATAGCAATTTCTTCGTAGATAAAACAACCTCCAACCAAACAAAATGCTGAAAATTTACTTTGATATTTATGTGATGAACGTAAACTACTCGTTGCTTGAAGGAGTTACAGTGATCCACTATTGCGGTCTTTCAGTGCAACAACGTTTCGTTTTATACGGCGTTAATCAGCTGTTGATCAGTGTCCAGCAGCGATAACATTCAGCAAAAAAGATAAACTTGGCAATGACATCTGCTAATTTTGGGACTGGGTTTTCCCATGTTCTGCAATTTCCCTTTCGCGTTCCTTTTCCTCCAAGACCTGCTGACCCTGAATTCCGGCTTGGGTGTCTCAGTCTAGCGCTCCTTTTGGCAAGCATAGTTCAATTGTAACCTCGCGCACTGCGACGACCTGTAAACGACACCAAACCTGCATGTCTAGTGATCTGTGGGGGGAGATAACGAGGCCTGGTAAATCAATGGAAGATAGGCTATGCACTGTCCTTAACTTGAACCTTTTATGTACCATGCAAAAAAAATATAACTGTGCAGTACTATACTGATAAATTTAGCAACTTCCTTTATTATGGTAACAGTGATCTTTGACGATTGCCTCTTTTTAAATATGATGCTGTTAAAGCTGCTCATTAAAGAGTCTTGGGATTTGAAATGTACCCAAAATACAGACACCACATAATCAATGCAGACAAGTTGATGTGAAGAGAAAACAGACTTGTAAAGCACACGATTTTTTTTCATAAAATGTACATTTCAACCCGTTGTGAAGAACTTTCAAATCACTGGGATTTTTGTGATGTGTGCAGGTGGCATATTAAAAGGCCTGTTGTGTTTGAAGAAGCAAACCTCCAGTGCTCGTTCTTGAGCAATGATTCCTAAACATTTCAAATGCTGCCCTTGACACGTAATATTTTTGGGTCAGTTTTCACGGTATATTGTCAATGCAGATTGGGTGTCAATCTCTTGCGTTGTATTATTACCGCAGACGCCTGTTTCGTGCAATTATTGCAGTTGTAATGAATCAACATCCTGCTTAGCCTCAAGCATGCATACAGGAATGACTTTTGGCCATAAAGACTTTTTGCCCATTTTGGTTGGTCTAAAATGACTACTACACGGTTACGAATTAACGTGACCGTTTCTCGCCTATTACTTCGTCGTCACTGTGTCTCACGGCCCATCAGAAGTGACACGCCTACTCGATCCCCATCTGTCTCAACTCGTGTTGCCAGTCATACGTCTTTGAGTCTGCTTCAGAATTACTCTTACTAGTCATGCATTACAAACGCTAATTGGTATGGAGGTTGCTGCGATGTCTTATTACTATCCCAAAATAGAGTTTCTTCCTGAATGTTGAGATGTTCCCCTTCCTGAAGTCAGTGTGGATCTAATCAGAACCAAAACCAAACTCTGCATCTCCTCAAGGCCAAATATATTTCACACTTTAACTCTGTGGGGATGGCTGTTTAATGCACGTCTACATCTATGTCTACGCTATCCGCCTCAAGCATGAGAACCCCTCATCGATGGAAAAGATGATGTTTGTCGGAAGCCTTCATTTTGTTAGTAACGATGCGACCCTAACGCGTGCATTTCGTAATCGTTCGTGAACCATCAAAGTTAAATTCTGACCAAAGGAGCCTCCGCTGCTGAGGAAATTGCGCTCTCTCTTGGTCCAGCTCGCGGTTCATACTTAGGGTCCTATTTGCTGGCCTTCAACCTTAGATGAACTCTGTCATAGCAGTTACCCTCATATTGAGGCTTTAGTAAATGGAAAACGTCTGAGGCGTCCTCGTCTTGCACCTGTCACGAGTTCCTTTCGAACAGACTAGACCTTCTGGCTAGATTTTCGAAAGCCAACTTTCGAACAGGAACTGTGGATGGAGACTAAGTAGACAAACACGTACTAGCGCCCCCTGGAGCCGGAGCTGGCACAATTCTGCAGGAATCAAACAGCATTTGTCCTTTTCTTTGAATAGCTATGTACCTGTGGTTTGGAAGATGTTGTTTATCAGAAGTCTGTTTACATTTACTAAGTTGCTAATATCAAGTGGAAGAGGTTATTGCCTTCATGAGACAGATGAGAGTGATCCTCTTGGAGTTTTCCTCCAAAGGTTCTTGGAAAATTTCTTTTCTCATGACCATTTGACGTTGGAAATGTACGACAGGGTGAACCTTATTGTAAAAACAGAATTTTAGTCATCTGCTAATTCAGCCTTACCATTCCCGGCATTTACTTTTTCGGGAAGTCAAAATAACTACAGCTTTGAATACGAGCGCCCCCACTGTTCCCACAGCCTCTCTATGACAAGCAATTTTGTTTAGGCAGGTTAATTCACGATGCAACTCAGTAATCCTGGGATAAGTCAAACAAATCCCCGAGCAAACACACTGCATGCTTTGGGGTTGATCGGTTAAAAAAAAGACGACCTGGAAGGATGCTTGCGGACATGTCCATCATCTTCTGGGTCTGTCGCAGGTTGTGTCAGATTAACACCAGTTTTCCCGCCCAAAATAGCAGCTCCTGACCAGTCGTTTCTGTGCTCCACCGGCTATGAAAACCGCAGCGGGGCGCCTGACTAATGGAAGCGTTTGTGCATGGTATAAACGATAGCTCCCAGACGCGCAAAACTTCCTTTCAGACAGACCATAATTATGCTTGTTGTGTTTGTAACGCAACGTCTGTTTTCTTCGGTTAAATTAGGTTAAAGTTGGTTGGACTAGATTTGTCAAAAGAAATAAGCTGTAACACTGTCACCTTGATGCTGTATAAAGAACCAAAAGGAAATCTTTCATTTTAATTGTTTTGGGGAAAGTAGAAAAAAGAAGAGAATTAACTAACTATGTATCAGATGAGTAAATGAAATATAAAAGGCAGTCATGATAAACCTTGCTGAAAAATCGGGAACAGACAGCTTTATTATTGGTGTGAAACCTCACCGTTAATAAACCTCTGACTCACAAATAACTGTCGATAAATATATATAAATAACACATTATGGTCAATCTGGCCTTGGGCCTTTGGGCATATATTTGAGAATTATGAATACATATTTTTGATAACCGTGTTAAACATGGAAAACAACAATTGCCTACATTTCATTGTGCATTCAGTGAGTTTTTATTTATTCAAGGAGGCGATGATACGTTTCTTTTGAGACAATTCGTGGGAGTCTATGCGTAAATCAGCTATTTTCGGCCGTTTTACCCACTGAATAATTATAAGGAAAACGACGATTAAGCCTTTTCCAATACCATTCTGCGCATGTTATGGCACAATGCACACTTCTGAGATATGACGTTTGTCCGTTGCCAAGGCAACCGAATGGAAGTCGGGTAATGAAGATATTTGGCCATGTCACGGTTTGTTTAATTCGGATGCATTGCGAGATGACGTTGTATACTACATTTTCATTGGTGAAACTGGGGGGGGGTCGTGTGAGTGAGACGTTATCTGGTCCACGACGGCAACAGGGAACGGGGGGGGGGGACGATGCATACTCAGAGTTCTGTGGGGGAAGGCATGCCGTTGAACTGCCCTTTCTATTAAACTCCCTTATGTGCTTATCATCCGGTTTACCAACCGGCTTAGTACTCCAACAGCTAATGGGGGAAATTAACATTTTCCCTCTATATTCCCGATGCGTGACCCGCAGGTTAGTTATGTGTGGTAAATACAAGTGGAGATAGTGCACGATTTACATGTGCAGTACGTGTTTACGTCTTCATCTTTCACCAATGATTAGGAATTTCAGACTCCTTCCGCTCTGAAACACTGATCTACCGTCGAAAAGTGCGTTTCATTGCTATCAAAAATCTCAGACGAAGCTGAACACTAGCCGTGTTTGCACTCTATTATTTGTGATATGTATCGCCCACAATTTTACAGCCTGACGAGTGAAAACATTTTGAGTTACACTGAGCGGGTAAAACGAAGCATGGTAACAAGTTATGTGTCCTCCCCAACCGCAACTTGTAGAGATTTCTGGCAAAGTTTTCCAACAGTTGATCACTTCCACTCCACGATATTTATGCACAAACTTTTCAGAAAATTAGCTGTTGTTGTCAGCGAGATTTAAGTGGTTGTTTTCTGGCTTGAAAATCTCGTCTTGGCAAAGGAAACTCAGAAATTACAGTCAAAAGGAATTTTCTTTGAAAAAAAAAGAGAAGTGCACAACCTCCACATTTATAATTGACTCATACCACGCACAGGTCATTAAAGGTTCACACTTAACTTTGATTTATCTGATTCCTGACAAGAAGTAATGTGTCAGTGTTGGTAGCGATCAGTATCTGCCCGATCGCTCGATCTGTACGCGAACTATTGACCTTGTTGCTTAATTTGCCTATAATTTCGTCATCTGCCACTTGTGCTTTCTTTCCAATTAGCGGCTGTTAAAGATTATTTGAAAAGGGGAAGTAAAATTGTAGATTTCGTATACAGGATCGACATATTGCGCAGAACGATATCGGACGATCGGGCAGACCCGACTGGCTGATTGCGCCCATCCCAATACACTACAAATACCCGTAACCGGTGTCTGTCACAGGATGGATCCAGAACGCAAATTTTGGGGTGGGGCAAAAACGTCTTGGGCGTATTTCTTCATGTATTTCTTTATGTACCCTTTTCTTGGACTTTCTTAAGGGGGTGTTAAATCTGGGGGGTTTACAAGCGTTTGGATGGAATGGAAACAAAAAGTCCAAGAAATCGCCTTCCCTTCAGTTCTAAAGAAATTCTTGACTCCCTTGTCCAGTGGATCCACAAATGCTTTTACTCGTGTTGAAGCTCATTCGTAACGTATCATCCACTTCTGCCCGGCAACGCTTATGCTGAGGTGTTGTTATCACAAGCCCCAAAGACAAGATAGCACCCTTACATCGGTTTCCAATCAAAAGCGTGACTAAACCTCAAGTGCAAGTTCACTTTGGGAAGCCGGAAAAACATCCGACCCGGAGACCAACGAAGTGGATACAGTCAGCCCAGTCGGGAGCACATGC